TCACGTTGGAGGCGGTAGCTTGATTAATCCCAGCACGGTGTTGGGCGCCTCACCTGTGTTACCTGTGACGGGTAATGAATTGCTACACCAACAGCCTTACTGGTGTTACTGGCTGCCTCATGATGGTGGGGGTGGTTACTGGGGGAGAAAGTGAGTGGTATAGTGTGAGATAAGGGCAGGTATTAGGGCCAGAGGTAAGGACAGGTATGAGGGCCAGAGGTAAGGGCAGGTATTAGGGCCAGAGGTAAGGGCAGATATAAGGGCCAGAGGTAAGGACAGGTATAAGGGCCAGAGGTAAGGGCAGGTATGAGGCTGAGGTGGCAGGTATTAGGGCCAGAGGTAAGGGCAGATATAAGGGCCAGAGGTAAGGACAGGTATAAGGGCCAGAGGTAAGGGCAGGTATGAGGGCCAGAGGTAAGCATGTTTAAAGCTGGCATGAAGTAAGTTCAGAGAATGGAGAGTTCAAGTGAAATCAAGTGACAAGAGAGAAAGCAGACAGTGAGAGTGGGACCCGGTACTGAGAGGGAGAGCGGCCAGCGAGAACGAGAAGAAGGATTGTGATAAAAACTTGAGAGAGAGAGAGAGAGAGAGAGAGAGAGAGAGAGAGAGAGAGAGAGAGAGAGAGAGAGAGAGAGAGAGAGAGAGAGATGGGGGGGGTATACTTTCCTCGCCTCAAACTCTAACCAGGGCTTACACTTTGTATACTCTGATCTGGATTTGTATATATACGGTATACAGTATTTCATGGCAGTAGGCTCGCGGTAGGTGGGTAAGCCGAAGTGATGGGGGAAGCTGCCAGCGCGAACCCACGAGATTTTTGTGTGTACGCTGACGCTGAACCCACCACAGGGCGAGGGTCGTGCCGCTGGCTGCTGATACTCGCCCTGATAACTGTGTAGGAGCGCTGCTAGAGAGAGAGAGAGAGAGAGAGAGAGAGAGAGAGAGAGAGAGAGAGCAGTCGCCTAACTTACTGAGGAACCAACCATCCCCTAGTTAACACCAGCCACCTCTCACTACCTAGCTACCTGTCGGGATTGGGTGGTGGTACTTCGTCAGCATCATCCCTTCCTCCCTGGGTATTGGGGAAGGAAGTTACTTATATATTTCTTAAGTCTTAACCTCAGTATAAAGATCAAATGGTGGTTATTGTTTTTACCATGTCTGTCTGTCTGTTAAATACAAAAGAGGTTAGAGCAAAACTGATGATAATGGGAAGTGGATATAGACCAAGGAAGACTTTAATTTTTATTTATTTATTTGGTTTGAGAGAGACATCCTTGGCTAACATGTATGTGTTGTGTTGTTACAGGAGGTGCAGAATCTACTAGTAAGCAACTACCGGGAATTGCAGAATGTTCTCTTCAATAAACTGGACAGTAAGTTACTCCACACTTTTCATGTATAGCGTCCACCTCCCCCCCAACCCCCTGCCTACATGTATAACGTCCCCCCTGCCAGTACTAATGCTTCTCATTTATCTGGGTGAATGTAAGGGAAATTGAGCCAAGAATTGCAATAACTTTTCGTTCAATTCCATGGTTATTAATTTTAGTGTTTAGTGAGTGTGTATGGTGGGGGGCGGGGGTCCTGGGTGTGCTTATGTGTTTTGAGGGAGTCTGGTTGCATATACCTAAGTCATCATCCATCCATCTTAAAACAAACAAGCTTTAAGATATGCAGATTAGGGACCTGTTTTACATATTATTTTTTTTCTTCTTTTTCCCTCTTTAAAACTTGTTAGCATAAGAGAAATATTGAAACTTTTTAGAATAGGGAAAATGAGAAACTTTAGTCATATAATTAGTGATGGTGGAGATATTAATGAATGAGCTTAAGTGGGGGAAGATTAGGGGAAGGCAGAGACCAGGAAGGAGGGATATTATTAAAAGCCACGGTTCCTGTAGAGACATAAAATTGAGGATGGTTGGGTAAAGACAGCCTGAGTGGAGGGCCATGGTCGCCAACCCTCAGATATGATTGATGAGCAGCTCAGCAGGTATCATTAAGTCTAATTTTTTGCCATTGGTGAAGAGATGATAGTTGAGTTAAATGAGAAAATACCCACATTAAATACAGTTTACACCTGTAATTTTGAGTCTGTAAATTGGTTATTGGTGCTGTAATTACTGTAGTTGGCAGCTCTTGGGGTCTGTGTGTACAAGTCTTATCCAGTACAGTGGTGTCAGGTTAAAATAATACTGTACTCCTATGGTTTAGATTGTTTATTTAATGTGTTTTAATTGCTTTACAAGTTGGTTAGATATTATATATACTGTACAGTAGCTAAAACAACTATCTGTGCATACTTTATGGGAAACAATATGAGACCATGGATGATAAATTTTGGGTATATGAGGGCTGTCACTAGTCACACGTAAAATTTTGGAGCATATCGACCCCCACCTGCACAGATAGTTGTTTTAGCTACTGTACCTGTATAATCCCCTGAGTACTGTACAGAGATGTTGCACCTGAAGGAATTGATCATCATACTTAGTGTTAAGATATTGTACTCATGGGGCTTTCAATGTACTTTACTCAAGGGGTTAAATCCTCATATTGAAAAGTAAAAATAAATGAATGGGCTAATTAATTGGACTCATGGGGTTGCCAGTCTACTCAAGGGGTTGTTAGTCTACTCAAGGGGTTGCCAGTCTACTCAAGGGGTTGTCAGTCTACTCAAGGGGTTGTCAGTCTACTCAAGGGGTTGTCAGTCTACTCAAGGGGTTGTCAGTCTACTCAAGGGGTTGTCAGTCTACTCAAGGGGTTGCCAGTCTACTCAAAGGATTGTCAGTCTACTTAAGGTGTTATCAGTCTACTCAAGGTGTTAAGTCCTCTTATTGAAGGGTTAATGAATTGAAAATACTCATGGGGTTAGAATCTTACTTTAGGGGCTAATAAACTTCTCGTGTATAAAAGAAAAAAAATAATTTGCATTTGCAGGTAGTGGTGAGCTTGTTAAGAGTGAACTGGCGCGAGTAACCAAAGCTGTGGCCATTGACAACCTGACAGCCATTGCCACAAGCTTGTCAGTCATCAAGAAGGACCTCTGGGAAATCAAGAACACAACACTACAACTACAGGACCAGACATCAAATCTACAGAGTGGTGAGTTGTTTGTTCCTTGAGGTTATTATAACAACAGTGGAGATATCAGTCAGAGCAGAAGAGTTATACTGCGGTTGTGATTATGGTTTTAAAGTTAATAGTTCAGGTTGTACTTTTTGGCAGTGAGTTGTAGTCGTGGGTATGGTGTTAAGAGTGTAGTAACAGTAGGTGGTGTTACAGTATGGTGTTAAGATTGTAGTGACAGTAGGTGGTGTTACAGTATGGTGTTAAGATTGTAGTGACAGTAGGTGGTGTTACAGTATGGTGTTAAGATTGTAGTGACAGTAGGTGGTGTTACAGTATGGTGTTAAGATTGTAGTGACAGTAGGTGGTGTTACAGTATGGTGTTAAGATTGTAGTGACAGTAGGTGGTGTTACAGTATGGTGTTAAGATTGTAGTGACAGTAGGTGGTGTTACAGTATGGTGTTAAGATTGTAGTGACAGTAGGTGGTGTTACAGTATGGTGTTAAGATTGTAGTGACAGTAGGTGGTGTTACAGTATGGTGTTAAGATTGTAGTGACAGTAGGTGGTGTTACAGTATGATGCTAAGATTGTAGTGACAGTAGGTGGTGTTACAGTATGGTGTTAAGATTGTAGTGACAGTAGGTGGTGTTACAGTATGGTGTTAAGATTGTAGTGACAGTAGGTGGTGTTACAGTATGGTGTTAAGATTGTAGTGACAGTAGGTGGTGTTACATTATGGTGTTAAGATTGTAGTGACAGTAGGTGGTGTTACATTATGGTGCTAAGAGTGTAGAGACAGTATGTGGTGTTACAGTATGGTGCTAAGATTGTAGTGACAGTAGGTGGTGTTACATTATGGTGCTAAGAGTGTAGTGACAGTAGGTGGTGTTACATTATGGTGCTAAGAGTGTAGAGACAGTATGTGGTGTTACAGTATGGTGCTAAGATTGTAGTGACAGTAGGTGGTGTTACATTATGGTGCTAAGAGTGTAGTGACAGTAGGTGGTGTTACAGTATGGTGCTAAGATTGTAGTGACAGTAGGTGGTGTTACATTATGGTGCTAAGAGTGTAGAGACAGTATGTGGTGTTACAGTATGGTGCTAAGAGTGTAGTGACAGTAGGTGGTGTTACATTATGGTGCTAAGAGTGTAGTGACAGTAGGTGGTGTTACAGTATGGTGCTAAGAGTAAAGAATTTAATGAGACTAATAATTACTGTACTAAATATATTAGATTTTTAGTACTGTGCTAGGTAAAAAGTTTCCTTAAATATACTGTAATGCTTGTATTGTACAACATGTTGAGAATTAGATAGTTTATATTTCATTGAAGAACTAAACATGTATGATTTTTTTTATATACAAAAGTGCCACAAAATGGATAGTGCATCTAATACAGTACATTAACTTTTTTTTCAGGGCTGGGTGATGTCGCTTTCAGGCTGAGGGAGCTTCAAGAGTCATGTAAATCACTGCCTGACTGTCATGAACTCATCACAGAATACGCAGATAAGCTCAAGATAAATAATGACTTTGATCGGGTACGTGCGATGCATGAAGTGATGATGGAATTTGGTCTGGTTACTTCACTATAGGTAAACAGTTTGACTACAAGTTTGTCATGTGTCAAGAGCCTGCAATTTACTAATTCTGATGGAGTGGTTGCAAATAATAAAGAATGGACTTTGTTGAAGATACACTACTCCTTAAAGTACAGTAAATAATTTGCAATTTGCATACGAACAAATAATGCAATCCTGTGAGTAGTCACTGTGCTGAGGAAGTTTGGCAAGAGAATAGTCTTGTTGATTATAGAAACGTGTCTTCCATTAAAGGCATGGATGGGAAATTGTCACAAGTTTGAGATCAATGTTGCATCCTCTAAGCATTAAGTGAACATGGAATCACACGGAAAATAAATCAAACCTTTGGTTTACTCCATTTTTGCACAAAAGGCCTCTTGGCATACAGTTTATGTTTGTTTATTTGGTTTCAACCTACAAATTATCATTATGAAAACATGAGCCTAAAACTTGCAGTTAGCCGTGTCATTTTGTGAAATTGGCTTCAGTTTAATAAAAGTTTGAACACTAACACAATACTACTGAGTAGACAGCAGTGTGTCAAAATACTGTACTATTTTACGTGACATGGAGTCTTTCAGTAGTATTTTCTTTGGAATTAGCTGTACGTAACTGTCTAGTGCAGAGATATGCAATCCACAGCTCTTTCCATACTAACCCTGTTGAAAGTTTTGTATCATGTCATCTCCTCTCCCAGATTAAGACAGAGAATGATGTAGACTGTTGACGTTGCATATCTCTAGTCTGTTGACACTAATGAGACAAATCTTAATGATAATGTTAATTGATATGGGCTAAGGCTTTTATAACACCAGTGTGAGCTGAACTTCTGTATTAGTTTTAAATATGGATGGATGGTAATGGACAATGGACATGTCACCACCATACCTTTGTTGACATTTAGTTTTCATCCATATTATTGTAAAACATTAAATATTAATTACTCTTATCAGTTTGACTCATAGTGTAATTGTTTTGATAAATGGGAGGAAGAAGTTTAGCAGCACTGTAGAGGTTGACCAGGGTAATGGCACTAACTCGTGTGGTTCCTTCCTCACAGTATCTGGAGACCGATGTTTTGCCTCAGGTAACTTGGAAAGCATGTAATGTAACCATAATAATTACTGTATTAGACAAATGAAGAGAATGCTGCTTCTTGATACACATTATTTTATTTCAGTTTGATACTTTGATACTTTGCTTTGTGCTTGGTAAATATTTTTTATGATGCATGAACCGTGATATGTTTCGCACGATCCATTTGCATGTTGACCTTCAGAATATATATAGATAGTGTTTTCAAGCCTTTGTCTACAGTATACTACTAACCTCTCTTTTGTTATCTATAAACCCTTTTTTAATTAAAAAATAATTGAGATTTCAAAGACAAATTTTTTTTGTTAATGGTCACATAGCATGTTGGAATTTGTTACGGTATGTTTTTTTTTATGAAGAAAAACAGAAAGAGAAAGAGATGAAACTTTTTTCTTTCATTTCTCAAACTAGTATTCCTACAGTTATTGTACATAAGAAGTTACTGTATTTTTTGACATGTAGGATCTCTTCAGTTAACTCTTGTGCTCTGATAGTCACTGGAGAATTTCCACTGTGTTTGAATGCTTTACTGTTATTTGAATAATTTTTTAAGCTAATGTTCTTCAAAATGAAGAATTATGGAAAAGACCAATTTGTAACTCACCAAAATTCTTAGCTTTTTTGCCTAGACAGTACAGTATATACTGTAGCAGTAGGGATATGATGATGATGTCAGCTTCACCAGGGTCTACTGATATTCTTTTTTACCAGTAGATATATTAATGTTTTTGGAGGTTCAGGACAAGATGTTCGTGAGTCTTCCTTAGTCAGTTAAATTACAGGCTGTGTGTACAGTCAGCTTGATAGATCCATTAACAACATTTACGAAGTATTTGTTGAATGACCTTCCTGGACCTCAGTGTACTGTATCCATCAGCTGTGTGTGCGTGTGTGTACGAAGTTAGATATTATGAAGAGAGTTGCTTGAACAAGTTTGCAATATAGGAGGAAAGTAGGAAGTAACAGAAGTGATGGGAAATGGTCTAAGATAAACAAATGAAAATTGGAAAAATATGAAGACAGACAAGAGGAATCAGCAAATAAAGAGAGAGAGAAGAAGAGTACATTAGGAGCAGAACATAGATGTGGGTTTGTGAATATTGTACTGTACTGTACTATATGACAAACTAGCAAGTGTGCTGGATTGTAGACTAAACACAGGCAAGAACCAGCATTATGGGGGAATACACACATGTCTCCCATGGTCGTGCTTCAGTGAGAGATATTAATCACCTCCCGCACCACCAGAAGATGACCAGAGAGCCAGGAGACGGCCAGTTCTGCATATCAACCTAGATATTGACTTAACTTATACAGTAGTGCCTTGGATTTAATTAAGCTGTTCTGTTGCTGTTAATTAGTAAAAATGATCAAGTTATATACATATATACTTTTTTCTGGTAATAATAATAATAATAATGATAATGAAAATGACTTGTTAGCGTATAATTAAATAAAAATATAGATATGGGTTGAGAGAGACAGTTAATCAGAAGAAATAAGATGTAGGATTACATGTTATGGTGTTACGATGTTTCCTATCAACTTACTTATTATTATTTTTATTTATTTTCAGCTTCCGAATGTTGAATCAAAGCTTGACGAAGTAACCGCTCTCATAGAAAACGATATAGAGATTGTGGTGAAGCGAGGAAAGCGAGCGTTTGATTCAATCGCGACAGAGATCCAAAACAAAGTTCAAAGTTCAATACCCGAAATCAAGGAGAAGATATTAGATGCAGGTGAGGAGTTGTGGACACTTTATCCTGTTTTTATTTGTGTTTATTAGTAGTGATTGAAAGAAAAGAACTGAGTGCAAGTTTCAGTTGATTTTTTTAATTTTTCATTGTGAAAACAGTATTATTAAATTATCAAGTAATAAAAACTATCCGTGATATGTCAAAATTAAAAGCAAAATAAAATGACATTTTTACTTTGTTCAATCTAATATACAGTATACAGTACAGTATACTGTACTGTATGAAATTATATATCTATTTTCATTACTTTTCTGTTTGTGTTGGGTGGATCAAGGAGTACAGAAACCTTCACGGGGACGAGAAATACTAGAGTAGGTTTTTTATAGTACTACAGTAAGGGACAAATAAACAGTAGTCCATAATACTCTTGTCCAGGTTTTGTCGGCAAGAGTAAGTCTGGAGAAATACTGTAATACAAACTTTGATCAGAACTGTTCACTTATCATTGAAGAAATCAGTACCTGTATTATATATTGTATTTCACTGCTTACAGGAGGTCAGCTGGAGGACGCAGCTGAGAAAATTCACCGAATACTGCAGCCAATTGATCTTAGTGAGTCTCAGAATCCTGACTCTTACCCAAGGGAATCCAATGTCTATCTGAGGAAGATAAACACATACTTAAGAATCATGCAGGATGGGATAAATGAATATGCTATGTACAGGTGGGTGACTGGTCTTTAATTATGATGCATTGTTTTCCCCTGACTAGTGTAGCTGTTGAATATTCTCCCCTTTAAGTAACTATGGCTGAAAATAGCTGATCAACACTAGAAGACTGTCATTTATAACCATAGATGATGTAGGTACTTTAGACTTAGCTGGCCATGGGATCAAACTGTTGTCTTAACCAAATTGAATTAAAAAATGCATGTGATCAGGCTTGCACTTGTGTCAGCTGTTACATCTACAGGGGGGTCCCCGGGCTACGAATGGGTTCCGTTCCTGAGGACGTTCTTAAGTTGGAAATGTACATAAGTCGGAACACATGCAACGTACATACAGTACCATACTTACAGAACAATGTTTAAAATCCCACTATATCATAGCCAAAGTCCTTATATACACCTAAAATCACTTAATTTAAGAGAATGACAAAATATAGTTTATGAAAATATAAAATAAGTCATCACGTACATAGAATACTTACTGTAAATTTAAAGCTTAACCCAGTTCGTATTGTTGGGCGTCCGTAAGATGGACGTTCGTATTGGGGACCTCTGTGAGCTCATGCTGTTTATTACGAAAGTAAATTATTTTTTTCAGATCCTGGGGCTTCATGGGCCTCTGCATATTGCTGCTAGTGATAACACTCTGCTTCACCTTGGGTGTTGTTATTGGCTGCTGTGGTCGCCGGCCTGATGGAGCCTCTTCATGCCACAAGGCTGCCGGTGCCTCTTGGCTCATGTGGTGAGTATGACGAATGTGAGACTAAGAGATAAAAAGTGAGAGGGCAGTCGTGATGGTAATAAAATAATAAATATAATTTCAACCATATCTATAATCTTATTCTCCAAATACAATGATGGTTATAACTGCCAGCCTGTAAAGTTTCTCCTCAATCTTCTTTTCATTTATTATGTCCCTTTAAATAACTGAAAGTGTTGTGGTGTGTTGAGTTGTAGGAAGGTTAGAGTGATGATTTACTGTACTACTGTAGCTTCCATGGTAAAACAATTGACAGCTAATTATTATTTTTTTCTTTATTGTATATGGTAAATTGTCTGGACATAGATGTAAGAATTTCTTTATTTATGTATACTGTACAAAGATTAGAATTTCCACTCACTTTGAAAACAGTTGTATAGTATTCAAGAAACAAAGATACTGCTTATTATTTCTTTCTCAATCAGACTTTATTCTCCCTCTTCCAGTGGTGTTGGGTTGACATTCCTCTTCTCTGCGGTGATCATGGCGTGTACTACTGCACTGTTTGTCGTGGGCAGTGCCAGTGAGATTCTGGTGTGTGACCCACTCAGTGACCCAACACACTCTGAAGTTTTATCAGTGGCTGCTGATCTATATAACTTCAATGACTATTATCCATCTGGTGAGGCACCAAGATTGACTGAAATGATAAGGTGAGTAAATACAGTTTACTGTATTAGGTTCTTGGTTCTTATAAAGATTGTTTCTCATCCAGCCAACACTCACTTGGCAGTAATCTTAATGTTTCCTACCTGTGAATGTGGTAGTTTTCTAAAGCAGTATATATTTCCTTTTTTATCTAATAAAAATATAGATTTCAGGAAGTTTTGGGTAAATAACAGATGCACTACAGAATAAGAAAGAAGGCATAAATACACACACTAATATATATATATATATATATATATATATATATATATATATATATATATATATATATATATATATATATATATATATATATATATATATATATATATATATATATATATATATATATATATATATATATATATATATATATATATATATATATATATATATATATATATATATATATATATATATATATATATATATCTTGATAAAATCACACGGAAAATGGAAACAACGAGTACCTTAGCTTTATTTTATTCAAGACATCTTCTGTGATTTTATCAAGATTTATCTTATCCACGTTTTCATTGTGATTTACATGAATATATATATATATATATATATATATATATATATATATATATATATATATATATATATATATATATATATATATATACTGGAATAAACTGTTACATAATATCCATTTTGTGTGTAATACAATGTTGAGTTTTGTAACACAACAAACACATTTAATATTGTTCAAGAAATCATGCAAATAATGTCTACTGAATATGGTAAAATTCTGCAATAAACTTTTAGGAACAAAAACTACCTAGAGTATAGCATCCACAATTTTTGTAACCCTTTAACTAACTTTTTCTTTCAATTTCTTGTTTCCTGTTATAATTGGTTTTATAATATAGAGTTTATAAATAGTGTTGTAATGGAATGCCTAACATTGTTCATTATTACATTACCATATAATGAATCCTGATAACAAACAACTTTTTGTCTCCCCACAGTAAGTGTCACAAGAATCAGTCTCTCTACTCAGTGTTGAGTCTGGACCACATAGACAGCATCCTAGCAGAACTCCAGGACTATAAGAAACGACTTAATCTTGATGAAAAGGTTTGTACAGCTCACTGTAATTAATATTTAACTGGACTAAATTCTTTAATTATGAATCTTGATTGAGCTGAATGATGTACACACTGTGCCCTTCACACTCTAGTTGTGGTACATACTTCTGTAGCACATGTTCTTCAACTCCATCTTTAACCTGTATTTGCTGTACACCTTCTCCTTTCAGATTGAACAACTGATGAACGAAATTCGTGTTGATACAAATGTTGAGATCTTGTCAAGGGATGCCAAAGAACAGCTGTGGGAGCTGGCCAACTCCTCAGTTGCTGACAAGGACACATGGGACTACTATACTGATATTGTAAGGATCAGTAGATTAAGTTATCAAGCAATTTTTATGAACAGAATGACTTGCTTGTTTGTAATAAGTTATATTTTAGATTTTGTTGAGTTCTTAATATAGTTTGACATGAAGAATTACAGTGGAAATTTGTTATGGAATCACATGCATGAAAAATGGCCATAGAATGGTGATGGTGATGATATTCAATTTAATATATATGACATTGTTTTACAGTTAGAAAAGAAAGTTCTTACAATTGACTTGATGGAGTTAGCAGCCTTACTGAACCAGACAGCTGACCAGTTGCCAAATGGATATCACCAAGTGTCTTTCAAGCTTAAAAATGATGCCCTTTTCTTAGAGGTAATATTTACATCATTGAAGCTACGTACTTGTAATACTTTTATGTTGTATAAATGTTAATTTACAACTTCTGTACCTCCAACACATATTTTTTCTTTTGAAATTGATCATTTAGTAAATTACAATATTCTTTTGCTCTTCATGATTAATTGGCCATGACAATGGTCATACTAGTCTATTTATTTTTTCTTTCCTCTTTTATCAGTATTATTTAAGGCTATTTATTGTCTCCAGTACTGTAAGACTCAGAGTTACATTATGAAGTTGATAAAACCAAAAATTGCTTCTTAGTGATTAAATTACAGGACTAGTAAATCTTTCATGAGAAAGATTCATATATTTATTTTATGCACTGTCAGGGCTTGCAACGATGGGTGACATCAATTGGTTCACTGACGAAGAATCTAAAGAAAACTACTGCACGACTCAACGAGCACCTGAAATTCAACAAGACAAGCTTACGTGAAGCTATTGGAGATCTCATCAACCAAGCTGAGTTCGCACAATACTACCTTCGCGTTAATGGCTCTCGGGAAGTGACCCAGGTAAAACTCTCTCTCTCTTTCTCTCTCACTCTCTCCTCTCTTCTCTCCTCTCCTCTCAGTAAAGAACATCATTTTTCTTTCCTGGTGTGCTGACTGCCGTGTTATATATATTCTACTATGGTGTTCCAGGATGAGGAATAATACAAATGAATTAGACAAAAGAATGAGAGGATGTTTGGTCTTGGGCACCATTCAGTATAGGGGGAAGTCATAAGTGAAAAGAAAAAAAGGTAAAGAGATTTGTGACTTTTGAATCTATGATACAGATATTTTTCTTATCTTTGTCTTCAGCTTTTCTTCTTTTTTCCCCTTCTCCATTAATATGTCTGACATAGTATTATTTTCCACAATGTTTTTGTTCACAAATTATGTTGGGATTGCAGTTTGTAATATGTGCATGTTTCACAAATTATTAATATACCTTAAATACTGGTACTTTGAGTCTATCTATATTAGAGGAAAAGATGTCCAAGGTTAATCTTCTGTCATGGAAAGCAGCAAACAAGACTTCAAGCATCAAATTACCTTCACTAGCTATAGAACTTAAGCAGGATAGATCTTTGTTTAATAGACTGCTAATCATCGCAAGATTCCATGATGAATTCAATCTACAAAAGGTTAACATGTATGAATTCATTTGCTTGCCAGGATCTCTCTTCTCCCCAGATGGTTCTGTCCTTGTTTACCAAGACAAAATCAAGCTCATGGGTCTCCTTGAAGCAGCTCCAAAAAGTGAAGTGTGTACAGTACTGATGTTGAAAGCATCGCAGATCCACAAAAGGAACCATGTCATAAGACTCATCATTGATGGCACGGCAATAGTTCACGAATTGTCAACTTTGTCTGTCAAAAATGTGCAGAGTTTGCAGACCACTTCATCAACACATTATCAGCGAGGGCAAAAAGTTATGATGCTTTACACCTTGTCTTTGATCATTATGACATAGGCCACTCGCTAAAACAAAGAACAAGAAACTGGTACTATGGCAAAGAAGCAAATGCATACAGCTATGAAATAAGAGATTCAACACAGATTAAAGTCTCACTCAAGAAATTACTCAGCAACGACAAGACAAAATCATCATTGGCCACCTGCCTAGGAAACAAAGCATTGCTTCTGTTCCACTCAAGCAAAACCTCATTTGTGCTATCAACAAAGGACGGTGTTCAGTCAAATGGTGAAAATGTTGAACAGTTAAAAAGTAACCATGAGGAAGCAGATGCTCTGCTCATCATTCATGCCATATATGCATCACAGAAAGGCAGCACTCTACATATCATATCACCAGACACTGATGTATTTGTTCTAGGCATATCAAAGCAGCCTCAACTTGGAGAAAATGCAAGTATGATAACAGGAACTGTTAAGTGACAACACATTGTTTCTTTCAAATCCATATATGATACTATTGGGCCAGACATTACAGAGAGCATTTCAGGTTTTTATGCCTTCACAGGATCTGACTGCACAGGAAAATTTGCTGTCAAAGGAAAGAAAACATGTTGGAGCACTTTGATGAAATCTAACACAAAGGTCCTAAATGCATTCAAGATGCTGAGTTGGCCAAATGCCCCTCCTGCAGTCATATGTATGTTGGTCTAGATGAATTTGTATGTAAGCTCTACTGTCCATGAATGACTTTCACTGAACTGTCAGAACTTAGATGGCATTTTTTCAAGAAAATGTAGGCAGAGGCTGAAAAACTACCACCGACTGCAGCAACTCAAAAGTATCATATATTGAGAGCAAGGTATCAAGCCCTTTTGTGGTCTTTTGATGCAGACAGTGAGATGCTTTTCACCATTGGAGCATGGCTGGAAGATTGAAAATGACTGTTTCATATCAGTAATATCAGACCTGTCACCAGCTCCAGAAGCTATCACAGAGCTTGTTAAGTGTGGATGTTGCATCAGCAAATGTGGGTCATTGTTCATGCAGAATGAGTAACATGGCATGCACTGAGATGTGTAACTGTCAGCAAATGATGAAAAATGTCGAAACAAGACGAAGGAATTTGTGTTTTACACAGAAGAATCTGATGATGAGGACTGAAGCAATGTCATAAATAATAGCTTATGACTTGTATACACATGATGTATAATACAGTACTATAAATTAATAATAAATATAAAATGGATGTTCTAAGCTTGTCAGATAATGGTATCATGTACAGTAAATGTTTAATTTCTAGTATTTGTCTTAAGCAGTCATTTTTACTTACTGCATTCTCTTCTTTGCCAGGGACAGGATGGCATATATGAGCAGCCGTGTTTGTAACACTTAAGATATTATAACAGTATTCATAATATATTATGTTAAATTGTGATCGTATAATGCAACATTTTCATATGTTATTAATCATGTTTTAAGTTACTTAGGAATTAATGGTACAGTATTACATTTGTGGTTGATTACTCCACTCTTTGATAAAACTTTTTTGATGGCATAAAATTTATAATAAACCGTTGAGAAAAAATGACACCATAGTTTTTCTTATTCTACATGTTATAAGGATTAATATGATGTATGGTGTCAAAAATTAACATGGAATTTTTACAGGATTACATAAGCTCCTATACTATGTATGCTACTTCTATATTTATCACTTTTATTTCATCATCATATTTCCAGATATCTTGTCTTTAATTTTTCTCACGCTTTACACTTTCTTACAGCTTGTAGCCAGATTCTCAGAAGATTTTCTGGCAGACGTAGACGAATATGTGTGGCACGTGGAATTAGCGGTGGAAAATGACGTTGGTCGGTGTGGACCCGTGTCAACAATATACAATGCCTCCACATCTGCAGTGTGCAAAGACATCATGTATCCTTTTGTGAGTAGCTCTCATGTGTCATCACCATGTTTTTGTAATGACATTTTTATATACACCCTGTACTTATATACAGTACACTGGAGATGATGGGACCAAGGTTCTTACAATTTCATTAATTTTTCTAACTTACCGAAGACCAGTTAAAGATTTATCCTTTAAGTCTGAATAAAATTTCTTGGCATGATGAAAAAATTACCTAAAATTTTCAAAATCTTGTTATGATAGATATAGACATTATTTTCTAACATAATGTCCAAACGTCTCATGGAAAATATAATTCAATTTGTCACCCTAATTACCTGCCTCCATTAATTTTTCAAAGCTGATTTTGGTGAATTTCTGTTAGTCCGGATGAGCATAATAAAGTACAGTACTACTTAAAACACATATGTACAGTATTCAATTCTGAGAGAAAATGTTTTGGCCCATAGCTTTGATTTTTTTTCAAAAGTGTCAACACGGGGGAAGCTTAACCTGCTGCTTAAGGACCTGGTGTGAAAAGGATGGTAACTTGTCTTTGTGACTCGTGGAGAATATTCTTTTCATTTTAGTACTCTAATTACTGGCCTCCCATAATTTTGTTTTTTTAGAATTCAGAATGTACTGGTAATGTATGGAATTAATTAATGATGGCTGAACAGCATTTAGCCTTGTTCTTACTCTCTATGTCTTGTTGTATGACTGATTGAAAATAATCACTTCATAATTTTCCTTCAGAATGGCTTTTGGGCGAGTGTGGGCTGGGTGTTCTTCTTCTTCCTGCCGGCGATGGTTCTGGCTGTTCAGTTATCATCTTTGTACCGGAAGACTGAACCATATCCAGGACCTCTCAATGAATCGTAAGTTAATTGACCATTGGCCTTGTTTTGGTATAAGCATCCTTGGTTTGTTGCCTGTATGGGGTCAAGACTTTGCAGCATCCTTGATATTAATCACAGTAATTACAGTGCTAGTGTTTGATGATCAGTAAAGCTACTAACCCAGACTTTCTGCAACTGTCTCATTTTTATAAAGAGCGGATAACATTAATTAAAATTCCATTTAGTCATTTTTTGTGCTGTAAATTTATGTAAAAAACTGAAGAAAAAAATCAAGGGTGTATCATAACTCCATTGTTAACAGTATATTTGTGGCTGTTTAAAAAGAAATAAATTTTATTTTATTTTAAGAAACATGTAGAATAGGCATTATTCCCTGCAAAAATTGATACCTTTTTATATTAGTAATTGTTGGATTTGTTTTTCGATGTAACATCCAAGACAGACATAGTAATCACAACATGAATATCCTGACATTTTCTGGTTGTGGATTGGATTAAATTAGTAATGGCTACATCTTAGGAGTGAGACCGCCAAGCATGTCCCCACCCAGAGCGGTGACACTGGGTTGATTTATGAGTAACAGCATGTGTGAGTGAAATAGACACAAGACAATGTGATGTAATGATTACTTCTAAATTAAGAACCCATTTTAATTCCAAAGTGTGGGACAGTATATATCAAGTGCCACTAAAAAAGCTCAGGCTCTCAATTGGCTCACCATGTCAATATTGTTATTATTAGCCACTCGGTATCTGTATTTTTCTGATTAAATAAACTATTTCAATATCAGTATCAATATCAAAGTTCAGAACTAGTACTTAATTGAAGATTATAATTTGAATTTACATAATAACAAATATGAAAATCATCCAGATTTTAAGGCCCTTCAAAGATTATATAACTATACAGTATAGTATATTATATGTAGGTACAGTATTGAGAAAGTCATGCTACCACACCAAAACATTAATAACGATATGTTGTTGACTTTACTGTTTAGATGAGGTGCCTCGCTTCTCTGCCACTCTTGTGTAAGGTGGATCTAGGGTTGTAGAAATCACCAAAAAATTACACTATAGTGAAGATTGAGACAAGATGAGTGTAGAGTGACAGGAAATGGTTAAAAATGAATAGAAATACCCACACGTATATACTGTACACTGTGACCATATTATAGAAGGTAACAAGTGATTTTAAGAAAGAACTAATGAATATTGGCTAAAGTTCTGTTGGGTTTACATTCATGTCTTTGGAAATTCACTGATATTTAAATTACAAATCTGTCACATAGATACAAGGTATGAGCTATTAAAGATTTTCATGCTATTAGTAGATCTGCCAGTTATCGGTACTGATGAAAAGATAAACCTTCTAATGCAGTTATTTTCCTTCCCCTGAAAAACAACATTAATTAGTACTTGCTATAGTCTCCCAAAGACCAAGTTTATATGAGGCGTTACTGGTTGCATAAATCCCTTGGTGATACCGTTAACTCCATTGTTTCATGTTACTTGACCGCTAATCATGCAGTATGAGTAATGACAATTCTGTCAAGTCGTACTGTGTGAATAATGACCCCTCTTTTAATAATGATGTATGAGTAACAACTATTTCTCTAATCATGCTGTAGAGTAACAGCAGTTCTTCTAATCATGCTGTAGAGTAACAACAGTTCTTCTAATCATGCTGTAGAGTAACAGCAGTTCTTCTAATCATGCTGTAGAGTAACAGCAGTTCTTCTAATCATGCTGTAGAGTAACAACAGTTCCTCTAATCATGCTGTATGAGTATTGGTGATTCTTATCCCATCAGTTTCTTGAATGTATTCCCAAGCCTCTTAGACTTAGTCTTGTAGACCTTTCCCAGCCTTCATCCTTTCCCTGTACAACATAGATTCTCCTCCTCTACTAGACTCTATTCTACACATTTAATTTTTCTACACAAACAAATACATGCTGCAATACATTTCAATAATTTAATTCATCCTTCTTGCAGAATACAATACAGCACAGTACAGTACAGGGCAATTCTTTCCTTTCCTGTCAACACTTCCTTCCAAATTGTAACCAGCTAGCCAAAAGTAGTGACAGTATTACACGGAGAGAGGGTTATGGTCAGACAAAAATTGGTAGAGTCCATTAAATTTTTTGTGCGCTGTGCTTAATTTTGTATCATACATAAGAACAGTAACCTTATACCTAGTGTATTTTGTGAGATGTGGCAACTCTGTGGAATGCTTATATAGCATCCTTAATCTGGCTACTATTGTGAGGTTCCTTAGGGCCATTCCAAGATGTAAACAAACACAGAGTTGCCATATTTCACAAAATGGACCAGCCACTGTACCAGGTATAAGTGGAGGTAGCTGTACATGCACAAATTTCTCCTTCAAATTACTGTACTTTGATTACAATGTAAACACATTTGAGAGAATTACTCAGTAACAAGAAATCTCTCATTATGTTTTTTTTGTATAATGATACATTTATGTTTCAACAAAGTTTTGAATTTTTTAAATAGATTTTTGAACATGACATAAATCTCTACCATAAACATTAGTTATAGTACCAGCATGCTCACATTTGGAGCCCAAAAATTATTAGCAGCTGTGACAGTGAGAAAATCAAATTTTTTGATAACAGGTTGACTTTTGTGTAATTATTGTAGAAAAGCTAATGTCATATAATTTGTATAACCTCCTGATGCATAGTGTTGCATGCTTTATTGATGCGTATGGACTGAGGTAGAGCCTCCTTCAATCTGATAGGTCACGCTTATACTTCATTAATAAGAATCTCTTCAATCTGATAGGTCACGCTTATACTTCATTAATAAGAATCTCTTCAATCTGATAATTCACTTTGACTCCATCACTTAGAATTTTCCTCAGACAGATAATTCACTCTGTCTTCCTATAGTAACTCTATCTGCATACTCAAACTCACCATGATAGCCCTTGGTGGACTGTAAGAGTACTGTACTTTGGTGAAAGGCTTTAAAAACATGGCTATAAATATCTACTAGTTGAGGAACATAGCAGAAAGAAGGAGACTCCACTTAAGGCCACACTAGTAGAAGAGAGAAAGTGGCATGAAAGAACACACACACACAAAATACAACCAAACACAGCATAAGCATCTCACCCGTGTATTTCAAATCAAAATTGTTCTTGGATAATTCAGTATTTTGCCGGTATTTACTAATTAAATGAATCAGTATGATGCTATAGGGAAAAGAGCCACTCTATATATATGTATATATATATATATATATATATATATATATATATATATATATATATATATATATATATATATATATATATATATATATATATATATATATATATATATATATAGTGTATATAGCAAGCAAACTGTGTACTTTGATTCAGTGATGTTACTTAAAGATATTCTCAGAGACCTGGTCACCTGGTCACCATGAATGTAAAGTTGATAATTGATCTTTACTTCTTGGCTGTTTGTGTTTGCTGTCTTGGTGGAGTTCTTTCATGTTATAAATGATTGTTATTATTTTATTTTTTATTAAATTTTTGGGGGTTAGTAATTTATGTCATTTGTTTTATGTTATAGCAAAGTTATAGCAAATTAATATAAAGATATTTATTTGACAGCGAATACATGTATGATGCATATGATGAGAGGAACAGCTTTCCTATGTCCAAGTGAGTATGTCAGTGTCCAGATAGGAACTAATGTGTGTTGTTTTGGTGGATGTATTATTGTCTGTCTTATAAAAGTAGGTAATCTCGTAGTACACATTCTCAACATTGCATTTGCTCTATCTACACAATTTGTAGGGTAATTTGGGCTATGTAACCCTTTTTTGTAGTGTAGTAAATTGTACAGTAAGAGAGTCCCCTTAAAGTTCATTCATATAAGCATCATACAGTAGCTTCAGTTTAAGAATCCTCTGGTTATGGGCAACTAGCTAACTCTAGTAACTCAATGTTTAGAGTGTCACATCTTAGGGTTTAACATGTTATTTTATTTTATTTATTTATTTTATTTTATTTTACATTTCTTGGTCAATAGTTAGACTGTACAGGAATAAACTGTTTCTACAACCTTCTTTTTTTCTGAAATCTGATGTTCTACCCCTTCGTCAAAAGTGCTTAAAATAATATTGTTACTAAATACAATGTGCAAATACTAACCTTAACCTCCTGGGCTTATATCACAATACTGAAAATAAGTTGGTTAAATATGGTTGAGGTTTACAGTTTCACAACTCATGGCTGCTGGATAATTAATTCAATGAGTGGAACCAAAAAAGCATGTTAAGAAGCAACACTGTCGATATTGTGTGGCTGAGGCTATAAAACACTTGCTCTCATTAGCTGATGATGGTGGAGGAAGCGGTGATGGAGTTCGCCATGTTTTACAGTGATCTTTCTTCTCTTAAAAGTGGTTATGGTTGTCACTTACATTTTTGTAGTTTGTGGCATGAGACGATTGCTCTTGTTAATAGGGTACAAACTCTCTCACCAGCCAAGAGTCCATGTATGACGCATATGCTGAGAGGGACAACATCCCACTCACTACGTAAGTAATGTGGTGTGAGTGATGCATGTTGCCACTGATGCCTTCGTGCTAACTAATCATTCCTCCCCATCCACCCCTCTCTAATACTGCCAATAATAATGCTCCTCACTTGAATGCCCCCCTCTCTCCCTTACATATGTCTAAACAGGATGATAATATCTTGCAAGTATTACATAAGACAGAATCCTAGAACAGCGGTCTGGTTTGGTGTGGTCTTTTCCACATGCCGCATTATTGTGCTCTTGGTTTAGTGTTGTGTTGGAGGTTGTTATGGATGATCAAAATGGAAATACTTAACCATGATTGTTTATTTCTGAAGACGTGTGTGGCCAAGTTATATTAATTTTTGCGTTGTATACATACCCAGAACACTTGGAGTTGCTAAGCTAATACCCTTATGGTTTCATGTTGTGCATTTTGAACTAGATGCATTTGACATGAGTTTGTATACAGTAATAAGTAGTTTCTTATAGTAGTTTTGTGATTTATCTATTCATGTGCTAGCTTGATGTGCTTGACTTTATAATTAATTTTTTTCTCTTCAATTATCAAAAGTAAAACAGTGGAAAGACGTCCCATACTGGTCAGGTGATTAATCGCTTTCCATATTGTTGTGAATCATGCCAACACTGACTTAGCTGTTAGTGTTCACTCTCAGTATATGTAG